ATAGAAGCTATTGTCCACTTATCATGGATTCCTGTTCAATGGGTGGCTAATGATCGATCATACTGATTTTGATGCACATCGGCTCAAATCTGTGGAATTTAGAGCCAAACGTATTGCGACAGTGTTACGTTTTACTTCGCCACGCCGCCCACATGTTCCACCCAAAACTGTCAGTGTTGGAAAGCAAGTTACACCAACATGTTCAGTCACTGGACACACTATCAGGGTGATTAGATCACAGGGGTCAACTTGGGGCATTCAACATAAAACTTTACACTTCTTTTTGTCAGGGGTGTGGCTTAAGTGATGTCATGATTTTACTATTCAGTCTTGCAGGGGACGGGATGTGGCTCAATCAGTGAAGGTTCCATGTCTCACACAGTTTTCGTGTAGGAGTGATTAGCTTTTCATTTTTCATGGCGAGATGTAAAACTTTGAGGTCTGGCCTCGCCCCTTCAGCATGCTCAGAAACACACCGTTTAGATAAGTTTTCTGTCAGGATTCCAAAATGGCCACCTTTTCTGTTTATCGTACAACTTTGGTGCCAAGGGTTTTCTGTGCATTTTGTAGAATTGGGGAAGTGTACCAAATTTCGTGCTTCTACAATAAACAAAGGTTAATCTAGGGTATTTTAAAAACTGGCAGGTGGCGCTAGGGGGCGCTGTGGAGGCTATTGGCCACTTATCATGGATTCCTGTTCAAGGGGTCGATAATGATCGAGCATACTGATTTTGGTGCACATCAGCTCAAATCTGTAGAATTTAGAGCCTAACGTATTGCGACGGCGTTACGTTTTACATCCGCCACACCACGCCGCCCACATGCTCCACCCAAAACTGTCAGTGTTAGAAATCAAGTTACACCAATATGTCTTCAGTCACTGGACACACTATCATGTTGATTAGATCACAGGGGTCAGCTTGGGATGATAAATGTAAAAATGTACACTTCCTGTTGTCAGGGGGCATTGCTTAAGTGATGTCATGATTTGACAATTCAGTCTTGCAGGGGACCTGATGTGGATCAATCACTGAAGGTTTGATGTTTCAGACAGTTTTTGCTTATGAGCTATTAGCATTTCATTTTTCATGGCGAGAGGTCAAACCTTCAGGTCTGGCCCTGCATGCTCCATCTTGGAGAATTGGACAAATATACCAAGTGTCGTGATTCTAAGACAAACTAAGGTAAATGCGTAGGGTATTTTGAAAACTGCCAGATGGCACTCTTGGTCTGTTTATAGAGAGCTCCATTCATTTTCAATGAGAGCCAAAATGGCAGAAATGGTTAAATATCTCCAAAAGTTAAAGTTGCATCAATAAAGTCATGGCCATATTGTCCTGAAATAGCTGAACGTTTTGATATATGAACTGTTTATATAGCAATAAACCAGTGGGAGTAGAGAGCTTCCAGAAAACGTACAGAATCATTAAAACAACTAGGAATATAAATATAAACAGGAAAACAATGGTGTGAATGCCTTGATGGCATTCACACAATAAATAAAGAAACTCTTATTTGGTGTAGGATAATAGGTAGCTTCCATGCATTTGCAAAGCAATGCACTTCTTCCAGAAAATGTGCCCAGTGGTGAATGACTGCGGGATTGTCACAAGAGCGTTCGTGATGGTGACTGGGTGGACTAGCTGGAGCTCCCACAGTCACCCTAAGGCCGGAGCGGCACTTTGTTGCAAGGGCCTCTGTTGTATAATGTCATCTTTTCTGCTATGCTCTGACATGAAATATTTCTCTGTGTATGGTAAAAACTGCAAAATCATGATGTACGTCATAGAAGTTCATGATGTGCATAACTCCTTGTACAAGAGAACCAGAGACTGTTGCTATCTTGCTGGAACAGACCACTGTCAGCTGGGGCAGTGGCCGAAAAAACGAGACCATGCCAGACCACACCCAGGAGCATCGACTGACCCAGAGAACAACATCACGATAAGGAAATCCCAATGTAACTGATAACGCTGTATTTAAACGAAGCAAAGACATTTGTAACTCAGACGTGTTTTTGATGGATGTAAGTAGCATGTGAGACCGTCTCCCTTTCCAACGTTGTGAAGGTAAAATAAATCTTTGTCTGAATTCAGAGCCACTTCTCAGGCTGCGTTTTTGACTCTGTCTTCCTTCCACTGAACAATCTCGAGTTGAGGCAGTTTTTGAGCTAAGTGTTTGAAGGTTGTTTCTCATAGTCTGAAGACCTCAACACCTCCAATGTTGCTTCTAGCTTTAATTTGTTCTTTGTTGTTTTAGCAATTTAGATTGGTTCTTCTCATCCTGAGCATTTCATTGTACTGTTGACTTTGTGTTAACCTTGCATATGACAAAAACAAATAAACACAATTTGAAGTTGAACATATATGTTTTTGGTAATTCTTTTGCCTGTGTAAGTGCGTAATACATGTAAGCGCAGTGGCATGCTGCTCAGTTTCTCAGTTTGCAACACAATGGCGGAGCGTAAACGGAGTCATGTGTGCTGTTTTATCTCCAAAAACAGTCAAGAAGAGTTTTTTGATGTTTGTGGAAAAATGCTAAAAAGCTGTGGCAACACAACAAACCATGTACTTGAACACTTCTGGTTAAACCACAACACAGAATACGAGGCATTGATGATGAGGCGGACAGAGAAGGAGAACAAAGTGTCAGGTGCTGTGTAGTATGACATATCCTGAGATATATTCATACTGTTAAAACGGGTTCTTTCATTTTTCTGGACTGTGTAACATACGTGCAGTGAATTTAATAAAATGTGGACGTGAGACGTTAATTATCTTTGACTCACCACGACAGTGGGTCATTTATTAACAGAATCAAGTTTAACACATCACACATTTACATTAATTGGCAAGAATTGAAAAATAACGACATAATTAATCAGCTTTACAACCAGGAAAACCATACGGCCATGATTTTCCGTTGCTTCACCACAGACATTTCTGAAAACATCTGGATTAATTTGCTAGCAGATAGGAGAGTTTAAAGATGGAAAGATGAGGTTTATCTACAGAGAGATGTGTGAGGGAATTTGTCTGTCTTAACCAGAACCGACACGCTCCTTCTTTTCCAGCTTGGGCCAACGGTACGCTTGGTTGAGAATAGAACTTTTTACCTTGCAGACGATAGTTCAGCGTTGGTGTAGAGCTCTCCTTTCAACTCTTTCAGCGTCTCCGTGAGAACAGCTCGAACCTCGAGAGTCGTGTGAGGTTATCCGAACAGAAGTTATAATTCCCAAAATCGTCTCTGGATCAGCTTGATTCTAATTCAGCAGCATCCTGAATTCCAGCGTTCTGCATTCTGGAACTCCCAAACTCTCTGTTTGAACTAGGAAGTGCCAATATTTAAATGGGCTCTACTTCCAGTTCATTTGAGAGCCTCTGATTGGTCGATGGACCCCAACAGAGGTGTGTTTTGTGATGTAAGGTGTTATTAAAAGTCAAGGAAAAGATTCAGATTGTTTAAGAACAGACAGAAAGATATCATGGAAAATTCAGACTTCGTGGAGCCACCTCTCCTAGTATCTCGCTGTAAAAGTTAAACATGACATTTCTTTTCAGTAAACTTTCAGTTGACCGAAACTTGAACTTTGACACACTTACAACTTCGCTCATTGAAGACAGAAAATAAAGAAATGCATATTAACCTGATTTCTTCTTTGAATGAGGATTAAAAATCATTATTACCGTTTTAAGTAAATAAAAATGAGTAGTTCACTTCAACATGTAAACATTGTTTGAACTAACACAATTTGATTATCAAAACATTTGTAAAATAGTAATGATCATAGAGAATTGTCTTTTTCCACTTGATTAATTCAAGAAAGAAAGTCTCAGGATGGGTCAACCTGTATCTCTGGATGCAAATCAATGAAATGACAGTTTCTGACCATATGATCCTAAGGTCAAGTTTTGACATCAGGTCAAGTTCACTACACACAACAAACCATGTACTTGAACACTTCTGGTTAAACCACAACACAGAATACGAGGCATTGATGATGAGGGGGACAGAGAAGGAGAACAAAGTGTCAGGTGCTGCTGCAGGGCAAGACATGCTCTGAAGGAGTCCTTCAGTGCTGCAGGACTATCCATGTACAGAGGGAGGAAATGTGGAGCTTTAAGTGGCGCTAAGAACTGTTGCAGTTGGTCAGAGTTGTTCAAATTAATACGTAGGGTTATGAAATAAGTAATGAAATAAATTCATACTTCAGTAAATAGTTGCATGAGTTCAGTTTGGAGTAATTATGTCCATCACTGAGATAATCTCACAAAAAGCCTAGATTTATTCAGGTAAGGTTTCCTATAGAATTGATCATTTAAAGTAGATTACATAGGCTAGGTGTCGTCAAATTATACAGAGCAATGGTGCTAAAACAGCCTTGATGAACTAAAAAAATAGCCTAAACTAGAAAAGATGGATAAAAACATATCTTAAAAACATCTATTATAATTTAATAGATATTTAATAATTTATTTTAATAGTTTTAGGATTTTCCTTCTTTTTTTAATGTTTGAAACACCATTTTCACATGTTTTGTACGATTGAGTCTTCTGTTATTTTCTGTTGTATAAGCTCATCTATATTATAAATGAGTCCACTACTTCAGCATACTCCTGAGTTTAATAAATAAATTACTTTGATGTCTTGCAGTCTTTATGCAGCTTTGATATGTAATACTGTACACAGCTTTTTTTTATGCTTACCAGACACATTAGGTGTATTTGCACAAAGTACAGTATCGGTATTGCCGATACTAGCCTGAATTTTACTTAGTAGCAGTATCGGTGTGGAAATCCTGGTATCAAACAACACTACTGCCCCATAAACTACCAAAAACACATGCATTTTCACTGAGTTTTAAAGACAGCACCCTCCCCCCACCCCTTTTTCAAATGAGTGAGTAAAAATAGTCTAAGGGGAGGAGCAAGAAATTATTTATATATTCAAAATTTGTTGAGAATACTGGTCATCCTGAAAATATATGCGAGTCTGTGAAGATGGAGATGCATGTTAGAGAAGAACTCTGCTTTCCACAATTTTTAAATAGCTCCTGCAAGAAGCCTCAGTCTTCCTGGAAAGAATTTTTACTCCTACAGATTATGCTTTCCTCACTCTCTCTGCTCACTTCAACTCTCAACCTGCTTGTCATTATCTCAGTTTCCTACTTCAAGTAGGTAAACTGTAGATTTATTTTTAAATTTTCTTTAGATTTGTCATTGCTTTTAAGTATATAATGAAAATTAGCTAAAAGGAGCTAGTATTGTGTTTGTTGTATATGAGGATACTAGAGTATACCTGAACACCAAAAAAAGTGCACTGCATGTTATAAAGGAAAAATTTACAAGTCTAAATTTAACAATCTCCTGATACATGCTCAAATTTGCTTTTAAATTTAACAATATATTTCTTGAGTAAATAGTTTACTCCAAGCAGCATTTTAATTAAAACTAGCAGTTTTTTAATTATTATTTTATTTCTGTCAGAAAAGACAGAGTTTGTTGACTTGATCATGCTTTTGTCTCCTATCAGGCAGTTACACACACCTACCAACATCCTCCTCCTCTCTCTGGCCATCTCAGATCTCCTTGTGGGTCTTCTGTTGATGCCTGTTGAAATTATCCGAAACACAGCCTGTTGGATTTTTGGGGATTTCTCGTGTTCTTTGTATAATTCAGTGTCTTTAATCATAACATTTTCTTCAGTGGGAGATGTTGTGCTCATATCGATTGACCGCTATATGGCAATATGTGACCCTCTGCATTACTCTTCCAGAGTCACTGAAAGAAGAGTTAAAGTCTGTGTCTGTGTGTGTTGGCTTTGTTCTGTTTTTTACGGCATTCTTATAGTAAAGGATGACTTTACAAAGCCAAGTAGGTACAGTGTGTGTTTGGGGCAATGCATAATTACTGCTGACTACATTGCAGGAACTGTTGATCTTATGGTAAGCTTTATTATTCCAGTTACCATCATCATAGTTCTGTACATGAGAGTATTCATTGTAGCTGTGTCTCAGGCTCGTGCTATGCGCTCTCACATAACATTTTTCACCCTGCAGCTTTCAGCGACACAAACAAGCAAAAAATCTGAGTTGAAAGCAGGCAGAACTCTTGGTGTTCTTGTAGTGGTTTTTCTAATATGTTTCTGCCCATATCACTGTGTGTCATTTGCAGGAAATGATATGCTTAGTGACTCATTTTTATCCTATGCGCTGTTTCTGCTTTATTTTAACTCCACCATAAACCCCTTAATTTATGCACTGTTCTACCCATGGTTTAGAAAAGCTGTCAAACTCATTGGTACACTTCAGATTCTGCAGCCTGGCTCGTATAAAGCTAACATCTTGTGCAAATGAACAATATGCATAAAAGTAAATACATTTAAAGGAGAACAGTAAAATAATGTATTTTATTGTATACGGGAAAGGATGACAGCATTTTGTTTGTTTCTTAAAAATAATTTAAAAAATACATAGATTTGCCATAGCTATTTTCATTATGAAAAAAATTCTGATATGTTGCTTACTTGCTTGTTTGTTAAAATGCGAATTTTTAGTTTACCAGAAAGTTAAATTTGAATGAAGTGTCATTACATTTATTAAATCTCATAAATGGATAATTTTATCTGAATGTTGGCAACTAAACTGTTAAAAAGGCATACTTTTAGACTTTCAAATAAATAAATAAAACTTTTCAAATGTTTCATTACATTTATGCCCCGTGGTGGTAAATAATAATGACAAAGGTTTTTGATGGTTATGAATTTAAAGTGAGGGTAAAAGAAAGCCTGGTATGTTTAAAAAATGTAAAATATATCTATAATCTTGCACTGAATTGTGATTGCTGAAAACAACTTCTCAATTTTTAAACATTTCCACGATATTATTCTAACATTTAAAGCCATAAAGCTGTTGAGGAATGTTTGATGCTTGCTGGTTAATTTTATGCAAATGTTTTAAATGTGATCTTCATACATCTACAATACTTATAATAAAGTTTTTAGTAGTGCATGCAACGCTGAAGACTGTATCCTAAGTTAATTTCTAAAATGTTTAAAATGTAAAAATATATTGCAAATATTATATTATATTAACTTTAAATATAAGTAAACTTTTAAAAAACTGTGTTAACAGAATAATGGCAAACTAATTTAAACCTAATAAGGTAACATTGGAGTAAGGTTAACAAATTTCAGCCTTAAGAAAGTTAAAAAAAAAAAATAGTAATGCATTAAAAAACTGAATAATTTTGAAAATATGAATATAGAAAATTTAATATTATAGATCTTGCACTTTTTTTAACCTAAATCCTTGCATGACATAAATAAGATTAGATGTATAAGTTAGATTAAAATGTAATTTGTGCTACTAAAACTAGACATTTACAAATTAGACTAAAAACATCAAGTTTTGTATTGTTATACTTTATACAAGCAGACACAGATAAATATCCTGAGGGTTGTTGAAAACCCAATACCCAAATTAGCAATGACTATTTTAAAATAATAGTTTCAATGAAAATGTTACAATGGATGCAGGTCAAGGGTCACTGCAGCCAGCTGTTGTTAGCTGTGCGCCTCAGGCCTCCTCTCGGACCCAGCTCACGCTCCAGTTCACACTCCCCCCGGCTTGGATCCCCCTCTGAAGCGGCAACTCACACTATTAATAAATCAAGGAAACGTGAATCCAGTTTTACCAGTTGTATTAAAATCAAGGCAGGAAAAGGTTACAGTTTACAGCGCTAGCCGGTTCCAAGAGATCGTGAACCGGAAGGGGCGCAAGTCCCGTGCAATTACAAATTTATAGGCCTAAACTCCTCTTTCGCAGAAGGGGAGCACAACTTATCAGTGTATGAGGGGAGGGACTAAGTGTGGTCTCTTTTGGACCTTATGTGGGTTAACATGAAAGGAAAAAATGTGATCGTGCTTAACCTCCTAGGACCTGGCATCCACATACAGGTCCTTCTCAAAAAATTAGCATATTGTGATAAAGGTCATTATTTTCCATAATGTAATGATAAAAATGAAACTTTTATATATTTCAGATTCATTGCACACCAACTGAAATATTTCAGGTCTTTAATTGTTTTAATACTGATGATTATGGCATACAGCTCATGAAAACCCAAAATGCCTGTCCCAAAAAATTAGCATATCATGAAAAGGTTCTCTAAACAAGCTATTAACCTAACCATCTGAATCAACAACGTAACTCTAAAAACCTGCAAAAGATTCCTGAGGCTTTTAAAAACTCCCAGCCTTGTTCATTACTCAAAACCGCAATCATGGGTAAGACTGCCGACCTGACTGCTGTCCAGAAGGTCATCATTGACACCCTTAAGCAAGAGGGTAAGACACAGAAAGAAATTGCTGAACGAATAGGCTGTTCCCAGAGTGCTATATCAAGGCACCTCAGTGGGAAGTCTGTGGGAAGGGAAAAGTGTGGCAGAAAACGCTGCACAACGAGAAGAGGTGACCGAACCCTGAGGAGGATTGTGGAGAAGGGCCGATTCCAGACCTTGGGGGACCTGCGGAAGCAGTGGACTGAGTCTGGAGTAGAAACATCCAGAGCCACCGTGCACAGGCGTGTGCAAGAAATGGGCTACAAGTGCCACATTCCCCACGTCAAGCCACTTTTGAACCAGAGACAGCGGCAGAAGCGCCTGACCTGGGCTACAGAGAAGCAGCACTGGACTGTTGCTCAGTGGTCCAAAGTACTTTTTTTGGATGAAAGCAAATTTTGCATGTCATTCGGAAATCAAGGTGCCAGAGTCTGGAGGAAGACTGGAGAGAAGGAAATGTCAAAATGCCAGAAGTCCAGTGTGAAACACCCACAGTCAGTGATGGTCTGGGGTGCCATGTCAGCTGCTGGTGTTGGTCCACTGTGTTTTATCAAGGGCAGGGTCAATGCAGCTAGCTATCAGGAGATTTTGGAGCACTTCATGCTTCCATCTGCTGAAAAGCTTTATGGAGATGAAGATTTCATTTTTCAGCACGACCTGGCACCTGCTCACAGTGCCAAAACCACTGGTAAATGGTTTACTGACCATGGTATTACTGTGCTCAATTGGCCTGCCAACTCTCCTGCCCTGAACCCCATAGAGAACCTGTGGGATATTGTGAAGAGAAAGTTGAGAGATACAAGACCCAACACTCTGGATGAGCTTAAGGCCACTATCGAAGCATAATGGGCATCCATAACACCTCAGCAGTGCCACAGGCTGATTGCCTCCATGCCACGCCGCATTGAAGCAGTCATTCATGCAAAAGGATTCCCGACCAAGTATTGAGTGCATAACTGAACATGATTATTTGAAGGTTGGCGTTTTTTGTATTAAAAACACTTGTCTTTCATTGGTGGGATGAAATATGCTAATTTTTTGGGACAGGCATTTTGGGTTTTCATGAGCTGTATGCCATAATCATCAGTATTAAAACAATTAAAGACCTGAAATATTTCAGTTGGTGTGCAATGAATCTGAAATATATGAAAGTTTCATTTTTATCATTACATTATGGAAAATAATGACCTTTATCACAATATGCAAATTTTTTCAGAAGGACCTGTATGCAAGAGTTTGGGTCTTAGGAGGTTAAAAATTCTTTTCTGCATGATGCAGCAAGAAAAATAAACTTCTTTGATGGATATTGAATCCCTGGGAAACTCTTTTTAGATTTGCTGGCTCCATTTAAACCAGTCAGAACCGGGTTATAATTTCATTATAATCCTGTCTCTGAGCAGATAAAAAAACCTAGGGTCAGTCTAGAATAAATAAATTACTTTAATGTCTTGCAGTCTTTATGCAGCTTTGATATGCAATACTGTACACAGCTTTTTTATGATTACCAAACACATTAGGTGTACATGTATTTGCACAAAGTACTAGTATCGGGATTGTCGATACTAGCCTGAATTTTACTTTGTAGCAGTATCGGAGCGGAAATCCTGGTATCGAACAACACTACTGCCCCCTAATCTACCAAAAATATATCCATTTTCACTGAGTTTTAAATACAGCCCCCCCGTCTTTATATTCAAAATTTGTTGAGAATACTGGTCATTCTGAAAATATATGCAAGTCTGTGAAGATGAAGATGCATGTTAGAGTCTAGATAAAATCCTAACAGTAACAAGCAAGCTTTGCTATTATGGTTAGAATCTGATGAAGTTGAACAAAAATCCTTAGAAATCAGTAAGATGTTAATGAACAAGCAAAAGCCAAAAGTGTTTAAGGGGAAAAAAAAACAATGGAAAACAAGGCTGGAAGCCATGAATAATAGAAATGCTTTCATGTTTTCAATGGGAGCTAAACATAATTGTTTCCAGCAGGCTGTATCTTATCAGTAGTAGACAGCAGTTTGAAGAATTGTACTTTAGGAAGAAGATATGATGAAGCAATGCATCTAACTTTGAACAGCAGTGCCATTTCCAAAGCAAATTCTGTCAAGTTTTTTCGTAAAAAGATTTTTTTTTTCTTTAACCATGATTTAGGAAATGCCATTACGGTTTATAGATTTTTACACTGTGTTGTTTTTCTATTAAATAGGTACCGTATTTTCCAGTGTATAAGGCACAGTTTTTTGCATAAATTTGTTGGTCCTGCGATTTATACACTGAAGCGACTTATATACGGGTTTTTTCCATATTTATAACGCAATTTTTGACTGACACATTAAATTTCGAAGAATTGCACCAGCGAATTCTCCCATGCGCACTCGCTTCACTCAGCTGGTGCAGGCGGAGGAACGCTGGAGAACTAGCTGTTCCGGCCACGATGGATTGATGGCACCGCGCCACCCAAGTGAAATGAAGCTGTTTTGACCATTAAATAAATGCGACGGGTCAGCCATATGTTTAGGCGCATTTGAAGAAGATGGCTTACAGACAGAGCAGACCTCAGTATAATGATACTCTTGACCAAGAGGAAGATATATGCATAAAATAGCTGCGGTCGGAGTTGACCTATATGAGGTGGAGAAAGAAATAATGTCAGATGAAGCGAACAAGTTGTCATCGAGAAGTTACTCTGATATCGTTAATTATTTAGTGAAGACGAGGACCTCCTACAATGGAGGAGCTTTGCAGCTTCAAATCCATGGATGCTTATAATCAATGATGGATTTGTGAAGGACGTCCGAACTCTTCATGTGAATAACAAAGTTCTGGTGACTGGCAGAGTAAGTAGTTGCAATATTATACACCTTCGCTTGCTACAAGCTACATCAGCTAAGCTAATTGTTGCTACATTAAATATCTTTTTCATTCAATCTTTATTTAGACAGATAAGTCACATTGAGCCTAGATGACTCATTTACAAGTGAGATCTGTTTAGACAGACAAAAAGTAATGAAACTGGA